TCTGATGTACTATGATATACACATGGCATAAATCACATAGGAATAATGCAGTGCAACACATCACATAAATAACATACAATATGTAACAACAGCAAAATTCAGGTCAAAATTTAAAATTTTATAAAACCGTAATTAAGTATACTAAGTGGTAGATATTGTAACAAGGTTTTCATACATATAAAGAACACTAAAATCCGAGTTATAACGAAGAAGTTATGACCATTCTAAGTTTCCCGACAAAAACCGGCAATACGAAGTTACGTAAAAACGCAAAGTTTCAACAAAACACTTTTTGACCTTAGGTGTCTAAATGAAAGTCATAGATATCGTCAAACCGTAACCGTACATAAAAAGAACGTCCGAATCTGACTTCGTATGAGGAAGTTGTGATTTTTCTAAGTTACAGATATAACAGTAGACACCTAAAAACTCGAAATAGAGATCGAGAGACTTTTGGCCAAAACAACCTAAATGAGAATCAAAGGGATCAACAATTCTAGCGCAACGGTAAAAAGTCTGACGAAAACGGACGTCGGATGAAGAAGTTATGGAACTTTAACGGACTTTTCCTGTCCCGACCTATTAAAAATATAATATTAAAAATATATCAAAACTAGCCAACGGAGTCTAAACGAAAGTTGTAGATCGTAGTCTCACCTTCGCGTGGATATAAAGAACGTCGAAAACGGAGTTCGTATGAGAAAGATATGAATTTTTGAAGTTTGTTAATTAATTTAAATATAAATTAAATTAAATCCCGGTATTATCCGAAGGAGGAGTCACCGGTCCCTCGTACGCCCAACGTACCGTCGTACGCCCAGCGTACTCGGATGCTAGGCTCCGGTTCGTCCACGTCGCTCCAATGTTTCGACCGAGGATGCGCTCATGCATGACGCATGAGTACGCAGCGCGTACTCTAAGTACGCCCCGCGTAACGCAACCCCCTCAGACCCCTATAAATAGCATGCGAGGGTGCCGGCCAAAATTGCTAATTTCCTTCCTTTCTCGCGTCGAAGCTCTGCGTTTCAACCCTCGGAATCATCCCAAAGGCCCGGTTTTCATATCCAAGGTGGGAAGAAAGTTTTACACTCCCGAGACTCCCGAGATTTCCCGAGAATCTCGAGAGATCCGCTTTCCCGAGACGAAACTCTGCCCGGTTTTCCATCTTGCTATCTTCAAGCTTTCAGTGAGTTCATACCCCTTTCTAACACACTTTAAATACATTTTTAAATACTTTTATACTCTTTTAGGGGGGGAATACAAGTAAACATACGGTTATTATCGTGTATTTTATAAAGTTTCACTTCACTTGTGTTATCAAATAAACCACTTGGAACTCATTACTATTATGGAAAACTCTTGTCATACTTTGTGTGCATTAGACTTATACGAAGTATATAATGATCTTTCATTGTTAAATCTTTTTATACATTCTAAAAACTTATGATTTTGCTTTATCAAACATTGTGAAAAGGATAAACTTTGCATACAAAACTATCACTTTAATATCAACTTAATTGAGAATCCATGAGCCGTGTACATCTTCAAACGTTACTTTTCTTTATTAGAAAGTACTGCAGTAAGTCCTGTTTATAACCAGAATCTCCCGCGACGAGAACGTGTCAAATGTGTATAGATCTATACGGGAAGTCATGATCCCGCCCTGACTGTTAGCTACAGTCCGTCTTTTGGGGTGACAGTTGTCATAGCACTGCGACGCCTGAAGAACGTCGTTACAGGCATATTATGTTTAGTATGGTTATAAAACTCATCGGATATACAATTATTATGATATTCAGTTTTGATGAACGAGTAGCTATTAAAACTATTCTTCATCCAACCGGTTCGATCTTCGCGTAGTTTTATTATATATAAAACTATGACACAACTTACGAGAAACGTCGGTTTCTTGCAATTTTCGGTCTTAGAGACTGCCATTTTGTGTGAGGAAAATAAGGGTTTTTCCTGCATACAAACCAAACAACTAATAGGAAAATAAGGGATTTTCCCGGTGCAATCATTTACAACTTATAACACGAATATTTATATGCATTCATACTTTTATAAGAAAATAAGGGTTTTCTTGGAAAACACAACAACTCGTATCTCAACCATTAGGGAAAATATGGGATTTTCTGGATCTAATGCATTCATTTTCAACACAACAAATCACAACTCTTTACATTTGAAATGCTACGTTTTCTGGAAAACATACACCCATTTTGGAATGGCATCCAATTTTTCTAAACTACTTATGGACTCACCAACTTAATTGTTGACACTTTTTCTTTGAAATAACTTGTATTCTCAGGAAATCGCTAAGCAGGTTTGGGAATCAACTTTTGGGATTAACGCGCTGGCGTTAATTACTTCTTTTGAATGATGTTTATGTATTTATCTTTTGAACATGTAATGAATACAACTATGTAAACATTTGGAAACTTTAATATATATGGTGGTGTGTACTTTCCTTTCTATGAACTGTTATGATACTGAATATGACGTCCTCCGCCCCCGAACGTTTCCGCCGTTCTGGTTTGGGGGTGTGACAGATTGGTATCAGAGCATTGTTTATAGGGAATTAAGTATATCAAAACCATTTCTTTTTGGTATACAACTATAAACTCAACTGGGCAAAAACACTCTGAGTAAGAGTCATACTTTTAAAAATTAAATTTTATTTAGTTTTTGTAAAGTAGGCATGCATTCATTTCATATCAATAACATGGTCAGTATCATAATTAAAACAACATTGAAGTATTATATATAAGTTGTGCAGTGCAGGTATGCCTTGGGACATGTAATCGGAACTGGGAAGGATATAGCCTGATCAACTATATTTGTCCAAGAGCCGACTAAACATATGCCAAGGAGTGTCTGTAATGGACAACAAATTTTAAAACTTACCAAAAGCATATCATTAAAGAATACTAAGGGAGTATTCGAGTGCCTCAACCATTAAACTTAAGAGTAAATTCCATGTGCTTTAGCTTATAGTCCATTCTTAACCCTATTCTCGTATAGACTCAAATGGATGGATTCCATCACCCGTTGACCCCTACTACCCCAACCATGGTAATGGAGAAGGGATAGAGAATGATCCTAAAGAAGGAATGCAAGAAGAATCAGACTCAGATCCAGAGAACAATAACCTACCCTTAACGGCTCCAATTCAAAATCCTAATCCTCGACCGGAATTTCATGGCTCGACGCCCCTTTGGGGAAACTAACCTGAACAGGTGGAGCCGCGAACAGGATCAACCCCTTCCATTCAACGGAGACCGAAGCTTCTACAACCTAAGCGAGGGAGGCTCAGCAGACAGAGCCCTTCCTATATTGGTTCGTCGGATTTCCCGCATTGATGAACAAGGACGGACGACCATCCATCGAACTGAGAAAAATGATGCGAACACTGGAGTCAACACAGTTCGCATCCGACAGTTAGGATTAGCTCACGAGAGAATCGTAAATCGAAATGAAGCGTTGCAGAGAGAGCTAGCGGCAACTCAAACCGAAGTGATAGAACTTCGGGCACGCCAGGCAAGACATGGACAACGTATGCCCGAGATGGAGCGTCAGTTGGCATAATCTAAGACCCATGTAGCCAGCTCACGTAACAAATAATACTTGTCTGACTTTCAAAATTTTGTCATAGCATAAGACCTCGGATAAAGTCCTTGCTTTTCTTAACCTCGTAATCGGAGACCTTTAGATAGGTCAAATTTTCCTAACTGCAAAATGTAATGCACCATGTTTTATAATATGATGTATCTCCTTTATTAAACCCTTTGCATACCTCTCCAATTCATGAGTTTATCTACTCTCCTTATAAGTCGAACTCAAAACCCTATTCAGGGGTAAACCAAACTTCTGATATAACAGAACACTAATGCGCGACTTTCGAATCATTAAAACTTATAGTTCTTCTTGTTATTTCCTTATCAGAATCATGTCGCCAAAGAAAAACGATCAACCCATCAACCAAACACCAACTCTTCAGATTGATGCAGCTACCTTTCAAGCTGCAGTCTCGGCTGCCGTATCAGCTGTTCTGACCCACCTTAACGCTAACAGCGCGAATGTTAGCGGGATTGTTAACAATAACTCCAATCCAAGTAACAATCAAATACCTCGACGGGCAACAAATTACCACAAAACCTCCCATCCCAAGACCAAGAATAACAAACGAAAGCTTTGGGCTAAAGCTAAAGGAAAATCACCCCAAGGGATGAGCAAAAGACGACAACATGTGGCAACCTTCGCAGCCACGACATCTGTACATCCTACTACCATCCCTTCTGGTATCCCAATTGTCCCTACACCAGCTAGGCAGTATGCTGGAAACCTACCGAATGCAATAAGTGCGGTTTCCATCATCTAGGTAGTTGTCGTCCGTTACACTGCTTTAAATGCAACAAGAACGGACATACTACAAATTGCTGCCGGACTCGGACCCAACACATTACCTCAAACACCAATGTCGAAATCTCTCGAATATGCCATCTATGCGGCGTAATGGGACACTTCAAGAGGGACTGTCCAACAGAGAAGGATGACGGCGAATCCGGAGGAGTTTGACCTCAGAATGGAAAGAAGCAACGAAGGAACCTACTATAGTATACGTTCACTTCCAATCGTCAGTATTATGTATGTCTTTTTAAAACATGTTTAAAACTAGTGCAACTAGAGTCTTACCTCTTGCGGGATCCCGTCGGTATAGGGATGCTCGTACTGCGTATACTTACCTTTTGTAGTATACCTTATTCGCATCAATAGTCTTATAGTAGTCTAAAGTGCTGTAACTCTGTTGATGGTTGCACGGTTATGTTTT